ACAAACTTTAAATTCAACACGAGACAGGAGGGTCAGGCCTCCAAGTTGAAAATCTTCTGCTTTTACATGAGTACCAGCCTGCTGTATAATAAGACCTCAGGGCCTCTTGTAAACACTTGGGCAATGAGGTGGATTTAGAAGGATGTTCCACACTAGCGGTAAAATGATATTTGGTCAATACTTTAAGAGCTGTTTGTTCTTCTAATCTCTCTCTAACGACTGCCACACAGCTCTCACTACATAACCACACACAGCTCTACCTCACTCAGTCAGGATGTCTTTTAGTAAAAGTATTTCAACATGTAAATTTCAATTATTTTGATGAGCTCATCTTTACCTGTGGAAGGGAATAAAGTCCGACTGATGACAAAAACAAAACAGCGAAAATCCCCTTTGGTTTGTTTCAAAACGACACAGCTAAGTAGGGCACAGAGAGAGTGCATAACATGTGAGTGTTTCTAAGTATATATTCTTTATGCTTTCTGGGCCTATTATAAGCCCGGTATTTCATTTTGTGCAGTGCACAAATTTAACATTTAAATTTAGTTTAGCGATATTTTCTTCACAGTCTACCCGTCTTTCATCCACAGCTGACCTGAATTGCTTTTTAAAGGGATTCTTACCTTCCTCTTATGTAGCACCATTTAGAGTAGAATTTAATTTTGCATTAGAGAGCTTGAAAAGGGTTTGTGATGCTTCATGCGCATCTATAAATCCCATTTTAATGTTGTGTATACAGAATTTAGTGGAATACAAATAGACTACTGAGTTTATGATCCCCACTTTAAAGCTGAACACAGAGAATAAACATTCCTACGCAGACTTATAATCCAGGGTGTTCATATTCAGCAATCTCATAAACTACGAATGCAATGTCAATTATTGTTTTTGGATTGTAGGTGAGCCTCTGCTCATTGAAACAGCAGCTCTTCACCAGTGGCAGAGTTATATCAGTTTAGACACAGCTTATAGAAGCAAAATAGGTATTGATTTAAGCATTTTTGCCAATTTGTCCTGATGGTTTGAAATACTTCTTGGGAAAATAGACTGAAAAAAGCTAAATTAAAAAATGAGTAATTTCATCATAAATTCACTAAAAAACTTCACCAGAACTTCAGATTTCTAAGATCGCAATAATAAGGGGAAAGACACAAGATGACACAAAATGGAAAGAAGGGGCTAGGGTGGAGATGGGTTGCCAAGTAGCTTGCATCTGCAGGTAGGCAGGCATGTTACAGGTACTGTAACTTGGAGAAATGACAGACTTATAAAATGCTAAAGTGTACGTTATTAAAAACATCTTACCAAGGAAAGCAGAAGGTGATACTGTGCCGTTACTGCGCGAAACCATGACACTGATGCCCGTCTCCACAAATGGAACCGAAAACTCAACAACCTCTGACCTCTCTTCATTAATGGTGAGTGAGCCGATGGCCATGTCTGCCCTGTTGGACACCACCTGTAAAACAGGAGATCTGAAATTAAACACAAAGAACTATAAAACATTATATACAAGGTAAAAAGAACCAAGAAAAAACTGATTCAATTTTTAAAAAATAAATTTTGTGGTATACAGATGGCAAGGAATAGACAGAAACAACAGTTTCTCATAGACATTGTGCAGGAGAAATGCCATAACATGGTTCTGTGTACACCTATCATTTCAGATCAGCATGTTGTGCCTATTTATATGAGCAACACTATAACAAACTCTAAGTGCTTTTAATGACTTTCACAGCTACTAAACACCAAGAAAACCTGATTGAAGCTGATGTCCTCTGGCAAATCTGAAATAAGTCCATACCCTGGAGGAACGAAACTCTGTGTTGGCACACAAACAACACCTGTCCCTATCCAGTCACTACCAACTTGTGACTGCTGAGGATAGAAACAAAGATCAATTTGTAAACTGACAGTTTTTGCTTTCCGCCCAGCTTTCTATTCACCACAACAGA